AATCTGCTTTTGATTTCCAGATACTCTGAAACTTGTATTTGCCCCAGTGTGATGGAAAAAGAAATACATAACAAACAGACACTTAAGAGTTCTTTATTTTGTGATTCATGAGAGTCCATATTATTGGTGTACCTGATATATCATGGGAACAACAAACTAATAACTCACGCTGTACCCCGGTGACACTAGAATGCACAGTGTACTTTAGGAAAATGTCCATCTCACTTGGAAGTATAGAACAAACTTTCTAATAAGTCCTTCGCACCCAACAGTACCATCATTAAGGTTTCCTCTAGACATGGTCCACTACAATGCCACTGACTAGGAAGAGACATCAGAAATTGTTCTGAACACTTGGTTCTAAATCTTTCACTCTATCCACAATGCTTGAAAAACATGTGAGAAAGGAGCAAAAACATTAAGGGAGATACAAGGGGGTGCATTGGGAATAAAACAACCAGATGGTTGCTTTTGATTGTCTGATGTTGGAAGTGCACCCTAGGGAGCCCTGTAAAAACAGTGGACTGTTAAGAGATGCTCGTAGCTGGGCCATTTCTCTGTTTACTCCATGTCCATGTCGCATGGATTTGAGTATGTCTGCCATCAGGGGCTAGTTAGAGAGGAAGCAGTGACCTCTCAGTATAATAATAGTGCTAGTTTTCCTCTAAGGACCAGTCAGTCATGGGACCATTTATCCAGGCCTGTTGCATGAAAAAAATAAAATAACGAAGTGAGGGAATATAGCCAGCAGATAGAATTGCCTGTGAGAGAGTCCTCTGATGTCATTGTTCATGATGTCTTTGGGCCAATAATCAATAATCCAGTGCCTTAGAGATGGTGTGATGTGCTTATGCTTAAGAGATGCTAGGTACACAGGACTCTAAAAGAAGATGGTTCCTACTTGTATTACTTCTAGATCATGCAGGGAGGGATAGATAGTAGAATGACAAAGCAAAAGACTAGATGACAACCACGTAATGTCTAGATGATCAGCTGTGATGGGGGAAATTAAACAAAAAGTGTGTAACAGTTTAATTAGATGTTATTGCATTTAATTAGATTGAAATGCATTTTGATTTTTATGAGAAGACTGTAACATTGGGTTTTAAGGCCCTACTGCTCTTCAAAAGCTGAAAAAAGTATTGCAAGTAAATCAGCATTTGACTCTAAACCATATAAAAGCAAAAAATCCTATTTTTGCCCACTTATTTTTAATAGCTTGTTTATTTTCCAAAGGCAAGATTCATATCCTTTCCATAGATGACTAAAGGAAGTGTGAGCAGAAAAACACCAACCCATTCCTGTACATGTTTGCAGAACAGACCTCTCATAAAGACTCTCAGCCTACAAATTCCCAGTTGCTGATGAAATAGCTACTCTTCCTGTGCCAGTTCATGCACACATAGATTCTTCATCAGAACTTTCAAAGTTCATAATTATCCTTTAAAATTTTTTAGCTTCTCACTGGCAAATTAACTATCTAGCTAATAAAAGCTTCTAACTCATTTTCATCTAAAGATAATTCAATCAAATATTCTGAGGAAATTCCACTTTTCTATGTGATGGTGCATTTTTAATATTAATGAGGAACTTTGAAAGCATGCTCCTTCCCTTCATTCATTCAACAATAAGTGTTTGAGAGCCTACCCTGTGGCAGGCACTGTGGGTACCTCAGTGACAAACCAAGTCATAGTCACCACCCTCATGGCACTTGCAGTCTAACAGGAAAGACAAACATTTAAAAGGATGTTGCATAAATGCCTGAGGTGACGGACACCCCAATACCCTGACTTGATTAATTCACATTGTTTACCTGTACCAAAACATCACATGTTTAGCTCTCTAAGTAACCACGTGACATTTTATAAACCATAAAAATATCACATGTACCCTATAAAGATATACAACTATCATGTACCCATAATAATTAACAAGAAAAAAAAATAATGTTGCAAACAATCAACAAATTGCAATTACAACATGTAAAACTAAGGAGAAATGTGGAGTGCAATGGCAGATCGCCATACCCTAGAATGAAGTCTCACCTCCATGGATGGCCCTTTGCAGTATGGCCTCAAATAATTGTATAGGTTTCCCTTTCATGAGTTATCACCATTCATACCAGATTATGCAGCATTGTGAAATATGCCAAGCTCCCTCACCTCTTTGCCTTTGCTTAATACGGCAAAAGTTTTCCCTACCTCTCCACTTATCAACCATCAGGGGCCACAAACATGCAGTGCCTCCTATACAAATCCTTTATTACTGCTTAGAAACTAGATTGGCTCTGTTCTCTAAACTCCCATAAGTCTTTGTTTGTACCTCTGTTTGTAGCCTGTCTTTAATCTTTCAACAAATACTTATTGAGCTCTTAATCTGTAGTAGGTTTGCTGCTAGGTACTGATCTCGTGGGCTGTGTATTGTTGTCGGTCGAGTGCATAATATCTCTACCTCATTAAGTTGTAAGCTCATTATTCATCTCTGCATCTCCCATCAGTTCTTGGGACATAGTAGCTGTACAGTAAATGTTTGTTCAATTGAATTGGATTTTCCTCATATAGATCATACTATGACAGCAAGATTTTTACAGAAATTAGTTTTCATCTGAAAGATGATGTATCTTTAGATGCATTTATATTCTCTTTTGAAAAAATGATTTCTGCTGACAGTGTACCTAATAATAGATCTTCTTTAAAATATCAATTGCATGAGAAATGGAATAGCATTCTTTAAAAATATCTACTACTATAGTCAATTCCCTCCGGAGAAACACATAGACTACCTCATAGTTTTTCAGTTTATCACCTGCTGTGTAAATATACTTGATTTTCCAACATTTATGCCTTACCATCTCTTTTTATAATATTATCTAGACATCATCTTTCTTTATTTTCTTCCAGAAGTGATTTAAGATTTTTTTCTTGAGGGCAATATTGACATGCTCTCAAAATGTTAACTGCAAATAAATCATTAATGAATTAGATTGAGCATTCACTTGTCCAAACTGGTCTCAAAGCTGGCTTGAGAAACTAGGCTCATTGTGCTACCTACTGTCGTTATTTGAGTCAGATAAATCAGTTCTGAATTTTTAACTGCAGTTAGAAGGATTTTTTTCTTTCATATTTTCTTTTCCAAAATATTTTTACTGTCTTACTTTCTTGGAGTTTGTATTTTAAGCAGATTTTCTGGTTCACAGATTTGGATTTGTCCTTAAACCCGAGTGGGGAAGTTACCAAGCAGATTGGTGATGCCCTGCCTGTGTCATGTACGATATCTGCCAGTAGGAACGCAACGGTGGTGTGGATGAAAGTAAGTGTATTTCTCAGTACTATACTGCTCTTTGGACTGATTTCTTTGGCACTTTATGTTATATCCAAATACATATATTCATGGATATGTTTGTACAGCCACATTCATTCTCTCTCTCAGTAATAATACAAATCAAATCACAGTAACATTTTAAGGGCACTCAACAACAGGTTGGCATCCATAACTGATACTCTAAAACTTAGTTTGGGGTGCTATTTTAGTTATGTGCATATATTAAGTAATTACACACATACAAGTGTGTGTGTACATACACACAAACATATATGCCTTAGGGCTTAATGATTTACAGTATGTTTTAACTTACATTATTTTTATATGATGCTTACAACAACCTTATACAGTATGAAGGTTATTTATTATTTCCCCCATGTTATTCACAAAGAAATTGAGGCAAGAAGGCTCATGACTGACAGAGACGAGACTCAAGGCCAGCCTTTCTGATTATAAACATTATGCTTTGATAATACACCTTTTTTTTTGTCTCTGCTGCTGAAACTACTCTTAAGTTTCTGAAAGCAGGTTGCACTGTGCTAGGAGCCTCTCAGAAGCAATATCTTTTCATCCCTGGGCCACAGTAACCCCTAGAACATACTGGGAGCTTAATAAGTATTTCCTGAGTGAGAGCTTATGTGTTTGTAATTATCTGAAATGTAGGCTGTTACCTGGAGACTCATTGCTATTTTTTTAGAGTGAGAAAGTAGGATTGATGATTGGTGATTTGAGGCAAGGTTATTAGCAAAGAAAAAGATCATGATTATGATTCCTCCACTTAAATCATTGGCTAGTATATCCTAACGCCCAGTGCCTTTGTTTACGAGAACATGATTTGCAACAAGAGCCCGTAACCAGTGATATATTGAGAAAACACACATACCATTTGAAATAGAAGTTGAAAAGAATTATCTTTATAAAAAATTGTGGAAAAATTTATTGCTAGAGTTTCCTTTTGATGAACATATAAATTATTTTTTATTGCTTTACTCTCTGCTGTTTGATCCCTTTGAATACTAAATTCTCTGTTACTTGCTCTCTTACTCTTAGAGCTCTGTTTCTGTTTCACTCTCTTTCAGCCAAAGCCTCATCACAACTTCTTGTTCACTAAGATAAAGTATCACCCTTTAGACTGCATATTTAACATGAAATTTATATTTGTAGTAGTCAGTGGTCAGAAGTCTCGACAAGTTCTAGGTAACTAGTCTAAATAATATAACGGCTGTATAAACACTCACAGTGGGCTTTACTACAGGACTACAGAAACTAAGTTTACTGTGGCTAAAACAGTTTTTAACATCAACTGCAGTCACTATATACTCTTAGGATTGTGTTTAATTGCCTGCTTAGAACATTTCAATTCCCAGTAAAATGAGACTATTTTCTGTATACCAGGTGACACTTTAAATTTTGTATTTTCTTTGTTCTTAGAAATTAGAATAGAAACATAGTGAAGGGCAAGGTGAGAGGGCAAGAGTGCGCCAATTCAGGTCTTTTGTCCTCTTCTAATAAAGCCATCTGTCCCGTCCAGGGGCCCCATCTTGGTGACCTAATCTAATCCTAATTACCACCCCAAAATCCTACCTCCAAATACCATCAGCATGTGAATTTAAGGATTAAGTTTCCAACACAAAATTGGGGTATGCTTTCATACTATAGCACTCTGTAACGGATCCCTTATGTTGGTAACCGTATGCTATAACATGACTTTCAGTCATTTATACCCATCATTGATTAGATACCACAAGTCTCCATGTCTGTCAATTCTAGATCTACATACACCACAAAAAGTTGGTACTATCCATTGAAAACTTTCATTAATGTAAACACATAGCATTATTTGTATAATTAACTCCTTATAACAATTCAATATGGAAATTTTATCATCCCATTTCACAAATTAGGAAACTGAGTCTCAAAAGTTTATGAACTTGTTCCAAATTATAAATTCAATAAATGGAAGAATCTGAAATAAAACTCTGATATGTCTGATTCTAAAACTACAAAGGAAAAAGGTAATCTATTTTTGAAAGCATCTGAAGTTAAGAAAAAGAAGCTTGTATTTTTATTACACCCAGAAGAATAGTTTTAGGCTTAATTATTATCTAATAAATACAAAGAGAGTTACAATTGTGCCATGTGAGGTAATTCACTTTTTATTTAATCAGGATAACATCAGGCTTCGATCTAGCCCATCATTTTCTAGTCTTCATTATCAGGATGCTGGAAACTACGTCTGTGAAACTGCTCTGCAAGAGGTTGAAGGACTAAAGAAAAGCGAGTCATTGACTCTTATTGTAGAAGGTAATCAAATGTTTAGGCACCAATTCAAATTATTCTTTGAGAATTTGATGCCTGGTTTCTTTTATGATCTCAGTTCAACATCACGTTTAAATTGTAATGATATTTTAGGAAAACCTCAAATAAAAATGACAAAGAAAACTGATCCCAGTGGACTGTCTAAAACAATAATCTGCCACGTGGAAGGTTTTCCGAAACCAGCTATACAGTGGACAATCACTGGCAGTGGAAGCGTCATAAACCAAGCAAGTATTTGTCTCCTCATTATATTCTGCACTTGGTCCAATATAGGGTTTTATTTAGGTACCTAAACTGTAGGTTGGTTTGTTACCATATGAAATTTGCAATCTTCTCAGAGGAAGCTTTTGCTAACTTCTTAGTTTTCCCAAAGGAAAAACAAGGATCAAAGAGAAATTTTAAATCCCAGGGCCATGGAGAATGGAAGGATGATTATTCTGTTGTCAGTATATTTTTTTTTAAAGAATGTAAATTGAGTGTTGCTTCATGGTCATTATTTCCTGAAACTTGGGTGATTAAAACATTAAAGTATATACTTTTCTGCATTATAAACTTATACATCTTAGATATATAAGTAGCCTCCATTACTTTGCTTTTACTGATGCATGTTAAGGGATATTTCTTCTGAAACCTGGGCCACAGGGCAGGGGGTGAAGAACACAGTCACTGCTTGTGAACATACGATCTGATATGTCTGTTCCAGGGCTAGGGCCAGAAAAAGGCAAGCTACATATGTAGTGTCTAGAGTGTGCTCTTCTGAATGAAAGGGGTTATGAACCAAATCTTAATATTTTTATCCTTTGCAGGACATTTTAATAATAGTAAATTTTTAAACTAGGAAATGTTTAAGAAATTATGGACACTATTAGTAATTTTCTTTCAAAACTAAGTCTTTGACCAAGAAAAAAAAAAAAGAGAGAGATAATCTGGTCTGTCACTAGGGATTCCGAATTGTAATTCCACTAAATTGGCAATCTACTGGTGTTACTGACATACTTGTTAATTCCACTTTCTCTCCAACAGTCTTCATGTCCCCTTTTCTCAATAGAACCAATTAAAGACTCATAAGGAACATCCAGCAGTGCCATTTGATTATTTGAATCTCCTGTGCTGCCTCCTTCCCAGTTTTTAACCCAGTTGAAATTTTAAAACATATGTATAAAGCAAAGATCTGAAAATCAATTTTAAATAAAAATCTCCACTCTTCCTCTGTCTGGGGGAAGTTGGGCCACTGGTCCAGCTTATACAATGCAGTTTTTCAGAGCAAGGTAGATTTTAGCTCTTTCACCTATGGGTGATGTATGTAAGATATGGAAGGCCCCCAAAAGAGTGAGCACACTTGGCACAAATGACTCCTGATTTGGTTAGGTGTGATGGAGACACAGTGAGAGATCATGAGAGAGGAGGCAAGGAGGCTCTGGGCCTCTTAAGCCTAGGAAAATGCAGTTTTCTTGATTCAGAATGAAGACTCGAACCATCTAAACAGTTGACAATGTATAGACCTGTGTTTTAGCATAAAATATGGCTGTTTCTTTCCTATGCTATTATTTTTACTCTCTAGCTTAATTAAGTAATAAGTGCAGCAAAAAAAAAAAAGAACTTTGGAGTATTGGCAATGCAGGCATAGAAAATAGAAAAATCAGCACACAATAAATATTTGATGAATGCAAAGATACAAGTATTTAAAAGGCCATTCTAGAAATGAGCAAATACATTTTGTAGAGATTAAAGAAACAAAAACAAAGATTCAGTGAGAAAAATCATAAAAAAAATCCTAGTGGGAAGTGAAAAAAATAGCAGGTGAACTGACTATGAGGATAAAAATAATAATGCCATACTTCATTGTCAAGGAGAAAGATTGATTCTGGCCCACTAGGTGATATGTTATTTTTCTTGCTCTAGGTTTGTGCTGATGCAGCCATAATATTTTATTTCTCCCTTCCTCAAAAGCTTGGTAAATCTATTATTTTACAACTATGAGATATTTCTGCCCCTCCTCTGCCCCCAGCAACTAGAAGATATCCCAAATCTTGAGACTAGCTCTTGTCCTGAAGGCACTTACCAATATAGAAAGGGAACTATATAGAAAACAATGTGTATAAAATGACCAAGAAAAGAATGTAAGTGCTTATTTGCTTCAGTCTTGTTGGTTTTAGGAGTCAAATCCTGGAGATGAGATTAAAGTGGATCTTTTTCTTGTGGTTGGAGGAATTCAATGTGGTGATTGCCCTCACAAAAATCAAATGGACTTAGCAGTCACTGAAACAAATCCATCCTCTTTATTTACAACAGAAGAATTTAGGAAAAATGGTTTCATTTACCCATGAGCAAATCATACATACGTACACACTTAGATATTAACAGTTTAAGATCAAAGAATTAATCCCCACAGTGAAGAACAGTGATCAAATTCATAAATAATTAAATTCTCATTTATGGAGGGAAAATTATTGATTAAGTAATCACTAATTAATTATTTTGAGATGGGTCATCATGCCAAACTATTGACTAAACCTGAGATTCCATTGAAAAGGAAAAGTTCAATTAACTTAATTATTAGCATTTACAATAGAAACATAAAAAGAAATCTCATTACAGATTTGCTAATCTCTGTAGGCATTGTCCCATATAGTTCTCTATCTATGATCTTAGCCCCTTGAACACAGACTGCTCTACAGAGCACCACGCCTATTCTATTACATTCAATATTACTCTTGCCCAACCTTTTGAATCCATTGTTATTTCTAAACCCATCTTCCTTCTTCTTTTTCCAGACAGAGGAATCTCCTTATATCAATGGCAGGTATTATAGTAAAATTATCATTTCCCCTGAAGAGAATGTTACATTAACTTGCACAGCAGAAAACCAGCTGGAGAGAACAGTAAACTCCTTGAATGTCTCTGCTAGTGAGTATTTCATTTCTGAAATTAAAAAAGTAAGAAAATTTGAAGTTTTCTTCATTAGTTTAAAATCTTCAATTCCATCTTCCTGTACTGCATTATGGTAAGTTTTATTTATTTATTTTGCATTTGGTATCATCATCATAAGATTATTTTTTTCTTCCTTCCTGGTGTCCATTCTTGTACTATCCTTGTCTTGACAGTTAAATCATTTCATATTTTATGGGTCAGAGACTTTATCCTCTACAGGACATTTCCCAAAAACAACAAAGAATGAGAAATGAGTTGCTATTAATAAATCCATGTTTTGTGTTCAGAGTAGAGATAATTCCAAGACTATTTTAAAACATTTTTTGTAACAGTTTTAAATTTGGTAAATTTTTAATTCCCTTTAGTCTGTTATTTTGCATTCCAATTCTTTGTGGCATCAATATTTATCCAACCCTTATGTTGTACAAAAATGCCACAAACTTAAAGTCATTTAGCAAATTAGAAAGAGTGATGTTAGAATTTATGAAAGCTAGTTTATGAAATTTTGTTATCATATCATGTTTGAATCATAGCCAAAAATCAGATAAAGAAAATTATCTCAGAGAAAGTGAAAAAAACTGTCAAAGCTGAAATCAGGGTAATACATACATACAAACAGCAGCTCCTTCTGAAAACAGTTGTCATTTCATGTGAAAGCATCCATAATCCTCAATTTTCTTATTCTTCCTATTGCTATGTCAACCTTAAATCAGTACAGGCCTAAAATGAGGATTGGTTCTGGACAGGATACTAACTGACCCACCATATATTTATTCTGCAGTCAGTTGGAATCCTGCATGTGACATTAGCAAGCTAGGGATACACTGGTTAGGAATTAGCAGGAACTAGGAGAAAATAATTGTCTAAGGATAATTGCCCCTTAACAGTGGAATATAAAGACCTGATGGATTGACAGGAGAAAAGAACCAAAGAAATTTAACTCTAAAATAAGAATATTGACTTCTCAGAATGCAATTCAGAGAGCATTGATTTGTCCTACCTAGAAGAGAACCTATTCTTTTTTCCTGAATGCAAATCTCTCTTTTTATTTTAGCACATTGAATGGTGTGCTTTGGTTTTCTAGGCCTTGCAGTGGCTTGATCAACATTTAATCCAATTGTTTTCAAAATCAGTGAGCACCTCCTGAGATACCAATTTCGTATGTATGAGGAGGGTCAGGGCATCTGCATTTTAGTAAACATCACTGGCATTTCTGATGCAGACCCATGCACTTTGAAGAATATTTATATAATTTAACATTAGATGAGATTTCAACACAACAGTGATTCTTGAACCAAGAGCATGGTGCTGTTAGAGTCATTTGGGGGACTTTTGAAAACATCGCTTATGTTGCTTCTCAGAGATTACTGAGGCATCCCCAGTTTCAATCTCTACCCCTACCACTTTGAGAACATCTGGTGGTAACTCCTTGACACTGGAGGATAAAATGAATTCTCCTATATCAGGGTAGTTGAGAAAAGTTGAGAAAAGTTGAGAAACACCACATTATAGACTTCATAGGTACCAACTTGGTTTCTCTTAAAAAAGAAGTATTATTAAAAGGTGGTAGATAGTGGAAAAATTAATATGTATTTCAGATTAATACAATAGCTCATAACTTGTGAAATTTTCTATGGTAGTGTGATACTTTTGAGGTTTTAACTACTCTCCCTTAAAACAAGATTAATTTCTTTGTAGAGAAGGTCATGGTCTATTAAGTGTGATTTTTTTTTTTACCCTTAGTTGTAGAATAGATATCTTATCATCCAGTATTATTACATCATACTATAATGGTAAAGGTGACTTTCATATATCAACAAATTTTGTTTTTAATTTCATATTAACATTTTTCATTTCAGTAAGTATTCCAGAACACGATGAGGCAGACGAGATAAGTGGTAGGTACTATGCTGCCGACTCTTCTTCCTTGACTATCAGCTCAAGATCTATGAAGTGTCATGGTATAAGTAATTTTATTAGCTGTCCACAATTCTGATTTGAACTAAGACACCAAATGAGACGAGATAGTAAAAACGCTAAAATTTTACCCTTTAAAATCACAAGTTTGCATGTCAATCATAGTAGTGAGCCTTAGACATTTTTAAGAAATAATATCTAGATTGACTTCCTTTTAAAAATCCTTGGCATTGTCTGTAATTGCATGGACTTTTCTTCTTTGTTCTAGATGAAAACAAAGAAAAAGTGAATGACCAGGCAAAACTAATCGTGGGAATCGTTGTTGGTCTCCTTCTTGCTGCCCTTGTTGCTGGTGTTGTCTACTGGCTGTACATAAAGAAGTCCAAGTGAGTTGTGGGGAAAAGAACATCATTGTTCATTGACTTTCACAGGGAGAAAATACAATGTGTTAATTATGCTCACTCCAGCTGTGCATTTAATTTCTACAATCAGAAAGACATATCTCCCAAATCAGGTTGATCATGTTTTGTTTCAATATGATTTTGTTTCAGTGACTACATTGCCAATACCAGAGACATGGCCTGAGGTGTGACTTCACATGTGTCCCTTTATTTTTCTCAGTCAATAGTCTGAATTCAATTCTTTGATTTTTTTTCTTTTTTTTTTTTAGTGCTTGGGTGAATTTTTTAAAAGCATATACTATCTAAAGGTCAACCATTCTAAACCTTTTGGTTGAGGCTGCTGAAGATTAATAGTGGTTAGTACATCTTGTAGGGACTACTGGGTATCTTTGCAGTGACAAATCTGGACAGCAATGAAACTGCTGACAAGTTAGAATATCTTATTGTCAATACTCCACTATTCTAGATAGTTAACTATAATCCATATAAGAATCCATTTCAGAAGAAAATACATCATAATTTTGGCTTGAATTTTTAAGATTTGATTAGACAAAGTACCAAGACTTCTTTAAAAATGCTTTAGAGATATAAGGTTAAAAATTGTTTGTCATAAAATTACAGATAGTATGCACTTTACAAGTCATCTAACAGTGGTTTAAAAGTAAAACCTGATAAATCAATGAAGATTCTTAACATACACACTTGCCTGATACTTCTCATTGTCCACTCCTTGCCTATCCTAGATTCAGATGCGACTGGTAGGGGTGGGGTTCCAGCATTTGCATTTTTTAAAAGTTCCATTGGTGATTTTGTGGCATGCTCCTTGTTCCAAACATGGGCTGTAAACCCCTTATCTTATAAGGGATAAATTGATTTCTACAATGAGATGTCTATAGCTATTGGCAACTTTGGACTTAATTTTATATATTATTATGTCTTACATATCCCCTTTAAAAAAAACTTAAGAAAGTTAACTTAAAATAAAATTGAAAAAAGCAGACTCAAACCAGGATCCATGATCTCACCCTATAAATACGGCAATTCCAATGAAGCAATATTCAAACGGAGCTGCCATCCAAGGGAGGCAATAGTTCAGAAATTTTGAAGTCACATTGCACCACAAGCATCTATTGAGTTCTTTTGTTCCCACAGCACATCTATAAAGTAGATATATTATTATTTATATTTTACATCTGAAAAATCTGAGTCAGAAAATGGTTAAATGGGTTGCTTAAGGTTACATAGTTTGTAAGGGACGTAAATGTTTTTTGATTTAAGACAGTGATGTTTTAGAGTCTTTGGGCTTAATCACTAGGGCTTCCTTTCAGTCACTATGCCTACTTTCTGTCCTTCTGCCACATAGGGCAGACACATTTTTCCTGTTGTGTGCTGTGATTGATGCACATAATGTCCATTCTCACATTGGTGTACAGTCAGTACTGATCTTGGCTTTTTATTCCTTCATCTTGAGAAGTCCCCACCAATACTTGGAGTCAGGGTTCTCCAGAGTATCACACTAGTAAGGTTTGTGTGTGTGTGTGTGTGTGTGTAAAGAAAGATTTATTACAAGCAATTGGCTCACATGATTATGAAGACTGAGAAGTCCTTAGACCTGCTGTTGGGAAGCCAGAGACCCAGGAGAGCCAATGCGTAGTTCCATCTATGTCCAAAAGCCTGAGAATCAGGAAGGCCAATGTTGTAAACTACAGTCTGAAACATAGCCAGGTCAAGACCCAGCACAAACTGATGTTTCAGTCCAAGTCTAAAGGCAGGAAAAAAACAATGTCCCGGGCTGGACACAGTGGCTGATACCTGTAATCCTAGGCTCAGAAGTTCAACACCAGCCTGAACAATAGTGAGACCCCATCTCTACTAAAAATAGAAAAATTAGCCAGGCATGATGGTGCATACCTGTAGTCCCAGCTACTCAGGAGGCTCAGGCAGGAGGATCGCTTGAGCCCAGGAGTTTGAGGTTGCTGTGAGCTAGACTGACGCCATGGCACTCACTCTAGCCCAGGCAACAGAGTGAGACTCTGTCTCAAAAACAAAAGGAAAGAAATTAAAAGCAAAAACAACAACAAAAAAAACAATGTCCCAGCTCAAGTGGTCAGGCAGGAGGAGTTCCCTCTGTTATTAAGCCTTTCCATTCCATTCAGATCTTCAATTGATTGAATGAGGTCCATCTGCATAAGGGTGGGCAATCTGCTTTACTCAATCTACTGACTGAAATGTTAATCTCCTCCAGAAACACTCTCACAGACACAGCCAGGATAACGTTTGGACAAATGTCTGTGCACCACATGACCCAATCAAGTTGATGCACAAAATGAACCATTATATTTGTAACGAATATGTTCTTTTTCTCAATGAACATTTTACCTATAAACAATTAACATGGGTTTGTGTCCACGGTGTCTATGGAAAATTTAGAAGGCCTGTACCATGTAAGTGAAAGGAAATGCAAACAGTTGCCCAGAGGCAATATCTATCTTATAGAAATTTTCCTTCTATGTGTACAAGTTTCCTGATGTTCAAAATCATATCTTCCCTTTGTAATCCATGATAAGACCTTCACAAATCTCACAGCTTGGGCTGTAGGGTATTTCCATTTTATGAGGATTTCTGATGCAATCCAAAGTAATTTTGTTTCTTAAAAGAATAAAAATAAAATTTCTCCATATCTTGAAAATTAGCTAAAAAGCAAACTATAGTCCTCTACATTATGGTCAAATGAATGTTAAGTTCTTAGAGCAATCCCAGCATCTTTAATCATCCTATTACAATGACCAGTATCTTATCACACACCATTTGTCCTTCTATGAATCAAAAAAAAACATGTGTGTGTCTGTGTGTATGTGTGTTACTTCATTTGTTATTACCATATGGTGACCCCAAATTAAATCACGGGTAAGTAAATGCTGGCCACTTGGCTTCATGGTGTCTTTAGGTTAAGGCCTCAAGCATTTCCTTTAAAGAATCTCATTAAATTAAGTGCAATTTCTATCATCTGACCTGAACATTCATCTAAATAACTGTTATTTAATTGAAAAGTGCACCAACTTTGATAGAGTTAATATTATTGGTAATCAATGTAATAAATTGCAGTTCTCATCCCAAGCATCAAAGGGTTTTTATTAAGAATTTGTGGAACACTTCAGATTTGCTAAGTGCTTTGCATTCCTAATTAATTATTCTTTGCTTGTGCCCTCTGAAATAAAGCAGTATTTTTGCAATAAAAATTAGTGTTCTTAACCCCTTAAGCTACTTGTCCAGAGTAAGTGCAGATTCGTAATAAGAGCTTTCAAGTTAAGAATTTCTAAGACCACTCTTGTGATACAGGTAGCAAAGCTGTGAAATTTTAGCAACATTTAGGGGAAATTCTTTGCATTGATAACTTTAAAAGTCACTGGAAAGAGATAAGAGAAATACTGTTTTATTTCTAAGAATTTAAGGGTACATTTGTTAATATACCTAGTGACCACTCAGCCTGCATGCATTCTCCATTCCACTAATAGGAGCTACATATTTTTATATCTGTTTTAAATATGGATAACTGCAGCAAGAAATGCTTAGCAATTGTATTCTTTTCCCATTTTCATATGACATGTTCATTTAAGAGTAAGAACTCATGACTCCTTTGCTGCATTAATCCATATAACTTCTCAATGGAATGTTTTCTTTTTAAACTACAGATGTTTTGATAATGAGAATGGATGACTGATCATTTAATGTGTAGGATATTAACAGACAGGGTCAGGCAAAAGGCATTTATTGACTGAACCCACTCTATGTCTAGTTGTTTAATAGGTAGAAGAACATTAAAGAACTACAAATAATTCAATGGTTAATTTTTATTACTTTTCAGTTTCTCTCTACTCTGTCCTCCAAACATTGTTTTTAGTTCTATAGGAAGTTAAATGTTATTATTTAAGATCTGAATCCTCTCTTGCATATCTTATAGTAGAAGAACTATTAATAACAAAAAATTAAAAAATCCAAAGATAAAGTGTAAGGGCAGAATGAAGTAGCCACAAACTTCTTCAGAAGTATGTAAAACCATAATTTCCAGGTTGGTTGCACCTAAGAGACCCTGACCACAATACTTCTTTTCACTAAAGTGGGAGCAACCATTAAGCAGACATTTGTAATCTCAAAATACTCATTGTGTGAATCTTGGAAATTTACCAAGAGATTTACCTTTTTGAACTGTGGAGCTTAAGGCTATTTTCATGAAAACTAGTGTGTAATATATAGAAAATCCAGAAATCTAAAAATCACAAATATCCTATGTTACTTCTGCCATGTATAATGCTATATTATTCTAGTCCTCTCTCAGAATAAAACAGAAACAGTCTAAATTGGCTGAAGGGCAAAGGAGGACTTGCCTATAACACTGAAGCCTCAAGAAACAATGCTATATTAAGCCATTCTAGAATCCTTCCCATTAGTATCTCTTGATTTGTGGAACAGGATCTTACAAGAAAGTTGATTTTATCTGGATTCTATCTTTCAATTAGTACTTAATGCTAAAATCAAATATTTGTCCTCATGAGGAAGGAGGGACTCTCCACTAGATAAATTGAAAAAGTAGTGCTGGAGGATCACTAACAGCACATTTTAAAGGACTTTTCTCATTTATCACCACACGAACACATACTTTTTTAGGGGCAGTTACTTTTACAGAAATCCTCAACAATTTAACAAAGTACATACAATTAATACCATTTCATAGTATCTAAGTCACAATGGGATTAACCTTCCAAGGTATCATAAGTAGCAAGTATTTTATTCCAAATCCCATATAGTACTTTCAAATATATTTTGCTGCCTTACCAGAACTCCTTTGGAATTAAAATTTCAGCTCTGACTTTGATTGACAGTCAGCACTTAATAAAGTGCTCTGGAGGAAGGAGTGTTCTCTTAAGGACAGGACTGACCTAGTCTTTCTCTCCACTTGTATGAGAAGCTGGGCTGATCCAAGTTTT